AAAGAAAGCTCAGTAGATGGATGGATTAGTAGATAGGTAGATAGATGGATGGATAGATGGATGGATGGATGGATGGATGGATGGGTGGATGGATGAATAGATAGATAGATAGATAGATAGATAGATAGATAGATAGATAGATGAATTAGTAGATAGATAAGTAGGTCGATAGGTAGATAGATGGCTAGAAAGAGAGGTCAATAGATGGATGGATGGATAGATAGATTGATGGATGGACGGACAGGCATACAGACTTCTGAGGAACCAACAACAGAATTAAAAACTGCTGGTAAATATGCATTGTCGAAGGCTCAACAAAAGATTGCCCCTGGCACTGCCAGGCCATCAAATGCTAATCAAGGTGGTCAGTTGAAACATTCACACCTAGCTCCAACAGACAAGAGTCCTTTGTCCTGCCCTGGTCATTCCACAGATATATAAACCCATTTTCCTAGTTCCAACAGACCTCACTACCTCTGAGGATGCTTGCCATAGATGCAGGTGAAACGTCAGGAGAGAATGCCTCTAGAACATGGCCATATAGCCCGAAAAAACCTACAACAACCCAACTGCTGGTGACCTTCTACCACTTTGCTATTGAGAGTGTCCTCACCTACTACATTTGCAAGTGGTTTGGTAACTTCACAGCGGCAAATAGGAAGGTGCTCCAAAGGGTTACCACAGAGAATCATGGGTTGCCCTCTTCAGAAGAACTTTATAGGTCCCGTAGCCTTAAGAAAGCTCAGAGCCTTCTTAAGGACCCATCTCACCCGGCATATTTTAATTATTACCATCTGGTACAGGATGACAAAGACAAAGACAAACCTACTGAGAGGCAGCTTTTATCCTCGAGCTGTAACTATACTGAACTCTGTGGCTTTGCATTGATGTGGCATTGCGGGCTGTGCTGTGTGGTGGAAGTGTGGAGGGATGGGCGTGTTGCTTTTGCGATGTGTGCTGGGGAAAGCATTTAATTACGTTGTGCAACAGTACAATGACAATAAGTTATTCACCCCAGAAGTTTCCCCAGATCAGTTGTGTCCCAATGTAAGACTGTAGGTTTTGTATAGCAATATTAAATGATCACTCACAAGCCGGTTTTGCTTTGAAATGAATATATTGCTTGTATCTCTGCAGCAAAGAAAGACACTACTGACTTTTCCCCACCACCACTTCCTTTTATACACCTTTGCTGCCCATCTCCCCCTCTTCTCAGTTTCCTTATTAGAACTTCACAAGTTCCCATACAAGGTTTCCATTGTCCTCTGCTGGCTTCAAAATGTCACAGAGAGAAAATTGAGGCAGCCAGGATGATTCAGTCAGGATGTCACGGAGGAAATTTGTGATGTCTTCATGCCCTCAGAAATTGACTCCTGACACCCAATGACTCCTTCACCTCCTTTGTAATGTCGTTTAGGGCCTCAGTCTTCTTTGGATGGAGCCTTCAGCCTTGGCGAGCCTTCGTAGGCCCTTCGCCAGACCCCAATCATACAGTTTCATTCATGACCCGGACTTTGCTAGGAATCATGGCTATTTCTTCTTCTCTCCGCAGTGGACGATGGCCTGGGATTCCTGCCCACCTTTGGCCCTTGCTACGTCAACCTGTATGGCAGCCCGAGGGAGTTCACCGGATTCCCTGATCCCTTTGAGGAGCTCAACACGGGAAAGGTGATCCCTTCAGCCACTGGTCGGGAAGCAGCGAAGGAGAAGCACTGCGGGAATGAATGTCCGGATATCAATGATAGGGGTTGTCGGCTCAGGTTGCCCGCTCATCACTTTGCCGTTGAAGAGGATGCAGTCTTTCTGTTCATTCGCTAACCCTTGGTTCCTTTCCCTACAAAATACACACAGCTCTCCATATCCACGGATTCTGTATCCACAGATCCCACCGTCCATGTTTTGGAAAATGCTGTGATACATTCCAAAAAGTAAAGCCTGATTTTGCCATTTTATAGAAGGGGTGCCATTGCACTACATCTCTATCTCTATCTCTATCTATAAATGTAATGTTTGTTTGTGGGATTAACATCACTCAAAAACCACTGGACGAATTGACACCAAATTTGGACACAAGGCACCTCTCAGGCCAATGAGTGACCATCACTCATAAAACACTGAAAAACATAGCAGAAGGGGCTTGAAAAGCCAACCCCCCCAAATTACAACGCATGCGCAAAACCACACACACACATACACACACATACACACATATATGCATATATACACACAAAACACATACACAGAAAGGGGGAATTATGGAAGGGAGAATGAAGGAGAGAAGGAGGGAAAGAAGGAGGGAAGGAGAGAAGGAAGGAGAGAGGTAGAGAAGAAAGGAAGGAGAGAAGGTGGCAGAGAAAGAGGGAAAGAAGGAGGGAAGGAGAGAAGGAAAGAAAGAAAGATAGAGAAGGAAGGAAGGAGAGAAGGAGGGAGAGAAAGAAGGAAGGAGGAGAGGAAGGAAAAAGAAAGAGAGAAAGAGGAAGGAAGGAAGAAAAGAGCAAGAAAAAAAGAAAAGAGCAAAGGAAGGAGAAAAGAAACAGGTAGAGAAGGAAGAAAGAAGAAGGGAAAGAAAAAGAGGGAAGGAAAGAGGGAAGGAAGGAAGGAGTGCAAGAAAGGAGGAGAAAGAGGAGAATCCTAGAGTTGGAAGAGACCTGGTGGGCCATCCAGTCCAACCCCACTCTGCCAAGAACTTGCTAAGAGGCAGACTGTCTGGACTTCCTTACGCCCAAAGACTATATCCCTGTGGAGGAAATGAAATAGAAACAATAGAACAGATGTTATTGCAGTGTCGCTACTACACAGTGCAATGTAGCCAACTTTTACATCCAGTCCTGTCCTGCATGACCTGCCATCCCCCATATGCAGAGGATTGTGAGACAAGTGCCACAGAGTATCTCTCTTATAGTGGCAAAATTCCTCGCAGTGGCAACAAGGCTGAGATAGCAAATAACCTCAAGAAGCAGGAAAATTGCATTCAAAGCACCTCCGACAGAATAGAATCATAGAAAGCATTCGCCACAGGTGCAGGTGAAACGTCAGGAGAGAATGCTACTGGAACATGGCCATACAGCCCAGAAAACTCACAGCAACCTAAGGCTAAAGACCTTGCAAAACCACAACTCCTAAGACCCCAGAGTATGGAACCATGGCAGTCATGGTGGTGCCAAATAGTATAGACAGCGGTACCTAATGGGAGAAGTCACTAGTCCCGAATAATCCTTCTGGATGAAGCGAATTCTTCCTGGAGGCCGAGGGTTCCTAATGCCATTGTTTCCTCCTTGCCAGGGGGAAGGCGTTGCTTACCGCGGTCGGTTGCTGGTGGAGCTGGAGACCAAGCTGGTGGACCACGTCGAGCAGAAGCTGGAGGCCATTCCTGCAGATGACATCCTGCGTGTCGAGGTTGGAAATGCTTGAGTGTTGTGTTTGAGGGTTGTTTCTTGTCAGGGGAACTCCAGACAAGAAACAGTCAGGGACAGCTAATCACCTCTCAACAAAGGATTGCCCCAGGCATTAACAAGCCACACCTAAGAAACTGTCAGGCCATCAAGTGTTGACTGTTGTGTTTGAGTGTTGTTTCTTGTCAGGGGAACTCCAGACAAGAAACAATCAGGGACAGCTAATCGCCTCTCAACAAAAGATTGTCCCAGGCACCAACAAGCCACACAAAACAACTGCCAGACCATCAAATGCTAATCAAGGTGGCCAATTGAAACATTCACACCTAGCTCCAACAGACAAGAGTTCTTTTTCCCACCCTGGACATTATTCCACAGGTATATAAACCCAATTTTCCTAGTTTCCAACAGACCTCACAACCTCTGAGGATGCCTGCCAGAAATGCAGGCGAAATGTCAGGAGAGAATGCTTCTGAAACATGGCCAGACAGCCCAAAAAATCTACAACAAACCAGTGATTCCGACCATGAAAGCCTTCAACAATACAACAATAATAATAACAATAATACTATATGGTATGATCTCTGTATCCACAGGGCTAGTACCCATGGTTTCATTTACCTGTATACGACACACACACACACACACATCTCGCCTTGAGGTGTTTCCTAAATCCTCCAACACAATTCTGTAGTTTGCTTCTGCCAGACTTCTAGGTGTCTTCTCGCCCTCCGCTCCATCCCTGATTTGTGATTTCCTGCCCCTTCTTTTCTCTTTCCACGCAGAAGTACTTGCGGAGGAGGAAGTTCTGCCTCTGCGCCACCTTCTACTCGGCCACCATGTTGCAAGACGTGGACGACGCCATCCAGTTCGAGGTCAGCATCGGGAATTACGGAAACAAGTTCGACAACACCTGCCTGCCCTTGGCCTCCGCCACCCAGTACAGCCGGGCCGTTTTCGATGGTAAGTAAGTAAGAGTAAAACACATACAACACCCCTGCTAGGTAGGCACGTGAATTCAGTCCTCTCACGACCTCCTCGTCCAGCTGTGCAATGCGACGGACTGTCTGAAAGGCAAGGAGTTAGTTCCGATCCCTGAAACACTGCAGAGTCTTGGTCGCAGTTGGCAGAGTTTTTATATCACAGCCTTTGAATTTGTATAGTAGCTCATCACTAGAAAAAGCACACTTAAGCTTTGGCATTCATCCAAACGCTTTTGGAAGTTTATCCTCCAATCATTGGTTTTCTAAATATATATATATATATTAATGAAACGGAACTGAAATGTAATAAAATTATTATTACGTTTCCTTTCCGTTTCATTACAAAATGCAATCTCTATAATTCATATATTTATTTCTTCTCCTTTCCCCATCTCTGGAGTTTCTTTTATTTGTAATTCCACAAGAACACCGTTCCCCGGATTAGAACCTGGAACCGATCAACAAGCTTAGCATCTCAGCGGTTAAACCCACCACACCACCAGCTGTTGTTGTTGTTGTTGTTGTTGTTGTTGTTATTTCATCTACCATAATATGGAGGCCAGGGGTTTACGGAGAGTCTACCATGTTGTTGTTGTTGTTGTTGTTGTTGTTGTTGTTGTTACTCTTATAATGGTATCTACCCATTGCCAGGGGTTCACTGAGAGTCTGCTATGTTGCTGTTGCTGTTGTTCTCTTCCTCCTCCTTTTTCCTCTTCTTCCTCTTCTCCTTCTCCTCCTCCTCTTCTTGTCCATCTTATCCTTCTTTTTCCTCCTCCTCTTTTTCTTCTTCTTTTACTTCCTCCTCCTCCGCCTCTCTCTCTTCATCTTCTTTTTCCTCCTCTTCCTCCTCATTCTCTTCTTCTCCTTCTCCTTCTCCTTCGTCTCCTTTTTCCTCCTCCTCTTCCTCCTCCTCTTCCTCCTCCTCCTTTTCTTCTCCTTCTCCCCCTTCTGTCTCCTTCTTCTTATTCCTCCTCATCTTCTCCTTCTTCTTTTTCCTCCTCCTCCTCCTCTTCCTCTTCTTCTCTGTCTTCTCCTTCTCCTCCTCCTCCTCCTCCTTCTCCTCCTCCTCCTCCTCCTTCTCCTTATTTTTCCTCTTCTTCTTCTTCTTCTTCTTCTTCTTCTTCTTCTTCTTCTTCTTCTTCTTCTTCCTCCTCCTCNCTCCTCCTCCTTCTCCTTCTTCTCCTTATTTTTCTTCTTCTTTTTCCTCCTCCTCCTCCTCCTTCCCTTTTTTCTCCTTCTCCTCCTTATCCGTCTCCTTCTTACTCCTCCTCCTCTTCTTCTCCTTCTTCTTTTTCCTCCTCCTCCTCCTGGCACCTACCCATCGCCAGGGGTTCACTGGGAGTCTACTGTATGTATTTCCTTCCTTGTTAAAGATTTGGAAGGCGTTCCCTCCACAACCGCGTTCATGCATTACAAGTGATGATGTCACCAGGAGCCGCTGTCTATCACATGGGTCTTGTCACCTATATCACAGGTGTTTATTTCCCAATCCCCTGCTCCAGGCTGCCAGTACTACTACCTGCCTTGGGGCAACGTGAAGCCCGTGGTGGTCCTCTCTTCATACTGGGAAGACATCAGCCACCGGACGGACGTGCAGAACCTCCTCTCTGGTGCCGCGGATCGGCTGGTGAGTGTGAAAACGTGCGAGGATGGAGGAAGTGGAGTCTTACGTGGGAGGGCACGAGGTGCATGAAATTGGGTGCATCGGCATGAATGCAGTTTGGCACCACCTTAACTGAACCTGATGGGATGCTATGGAGTTCTGGGAGTTGCAGTTTCACAAGGTCTTCCACCTCCTCACCAAACTACAACTCTCAGAATTCCATAGCCTTGGGTCGTGGTAGGTAAAGTGAGGTCAAACGACATTCATTTCGCAGTGTAGATGGAACCATAGTATCCTTATCATCATATTATCCTTTTCAACTGGGGGAGCATCTATACTGTAAAATGAATGCGGTGTGATCTCCCACTTTAATGACCATGACGGAATGGTCTGGAATCTACAACAAGCCAGTGATTCATAGAATCATAGAATCATGGAATCATAGAGTTGGAAGAGACCTGGTGGGCCATCCAGTCCAGCCCCATTCTGCCAAGAAGCAGGAATATTACATTCAAATCACCCCTGACAGATGGCCATCCAGCCTCTGTTTAAAAGCTTCCAAAGAAGGAGCCTCCACCACACTCCCTCCGGGGCAGAGAGTTCCACTGCTGAACGGCTCTCACAGTCAGGAAGTTCTTCCTCATGTTCAGACGGAATCTCCTCTCTTCTAGTTTGAAGCCATTGTTCCCTTGCGTCCTAGTCTCCAGGGAAGCAGAAAGGAAGCCTGCACCCTCCTCCTCCCTGTGGCTTCCTCTCACCTATTTATACATGGCCCTCATCATATCTCCTCTCAGCCTTCTCTTCTTCAGGCTAAACATGCTCGGCTCCTTAAGCCGCTCCTCATAGGGCTTGTTCTCCAGACCCAGGATCATTTGAGTCACCCTCCTCTGGACACATTCCAGCTTGTCAATATCTCTCTTGAATGGTGGTGCCCAGAATTGGACACAATATTCCAGATGTGGTCTAACCAAAGCAGAATAGAGCATGGGGAGCAGGACTTCCCTGGATCTAGACACTAGGCTCCTCTTGATGCAGACCAAAATTATGAAGCCATGATTGATATTCACTTCCCAGCAAAGCAGTCATCGCTTTCATTGTGAGCCTAGGGGACTCCTGCTCGACTCCTCGGCCATTGCACTTTGGAGTCCCGCAGGGTTCAGTACTGTTCCCTATGTTGTTTAACATCTACATGAAGCTGCTGGGAGAGATCATCCGGAGTTTCGGGGTGCGGTGTCATCTGTACGCAGATGATGTCCAACTCTGTCACTCCATTCCACCTGCTACTAAGGAGGCTGTCCAGGTCCTGAACCGGTGCCTGGCCGCTGTGATGGACTGGACGAGGGACAACAGATTGAAACTAAATCCAGACAAGACAGAGCTACTCCTGGTCAGTCGAAAGGCCGAACAGGGCATAGAGTGACAGCCTGTGTTGGACGGGGTAACACTCCCCCTGAAGACGCAGGTTCGCAGCTTGGGTGTGACCCTGGACTCATCGCTGAGCCTGGAACCCCAGGTTTCAGCAGTGTTCAGGGGAGCTTTTGCACAATTAAAACTTGTGCGCCAGCTGCGCCCGTACCTTGGGAAGTCTGACTTGGCCACAGTGGTCCACGCTTTGGTTACATCCCGTTTAGATTACTGCCACGCTCTCTATATGGGGTTGCCTCTGAAGACTGCCCGGAAGTTGCAGCTAGTCCAACGCTTGGCAGCCAGACTACTAACGGGTGCTGGGTACAGGGAGCACACCACTCCACTGTTACACCAGCTCCACTGGCTGCCAATTAGCTTCCGAGCACAATTCAAAGTGCTGGTGTTAACCTATAAAGCCCTAAACGACTCCGGCCCAATTTACCTGTCCGAACGTATCCTCCCCTATGAGCCATCAAGATTACTAAGATCATCTGGAGGGGCCCTGCTCTCGATCCCACCGGCCTCACAGGCGCGGCTGGTGGGGACGAGAGACAGGGCCTTCTCGGTGGTGGCCCCTCGACTCTGGAACTCCCTTCCACTGGAGATCAGAACTGCCCCTTCTATCTTAACGTTCAGGAAACAGGTGAAAACTTGGCTTTGGGGATTGGCATTCGACGAATGAGCCATGATCCTGTGATATGGATGGATGACGACGAATAATGATTTTTGATGATGACTGACCACTGTAATTATATGATTGTATTTTGCTATTTTAATGTGATTTAGAATGTGATGTTTTAATGACGGTCTGTAATATTGATGTTGGAAACCGGCCTGAGTCCCTCGAATGGAGGTGAGAAGACCGGTATACAAAACTGCTAAATAAATAAATAAATAAATAATAATAATAATAATTATTATTATTATTATTATTATTATTATGTCCATCTTGTGGTCCCTTAAGACTCCGAGATCCCTTTCTCATATCCTGTTGTTGTTGTCACTCATACATGCTGTACGTGCGCACGTCCTTTCTCCTGCCGTGGAAGCTCACCCGTGCCTGTCTCTCTCTTTTGTGCCCGCTGCCTAGGAAGCCAACCTGGCCCTGGTCCACCTGGCCCTCAAAGCCAAACGCTCCGCCGGCGACTTGGACGCCCTGCTTGCACGGCTGATGGATGAGGTCATTGCGGACTGCAGGTATCCCCCTGTGCGGCTTGGAGCCCCTTCTTGGGGTTATGGCCGCCCCGCTTGTTTGCCTTGGACGGGCTCCGCGCTCCCGAAGAAAGCCTTCCTTTTGCCCGGCGCCCTCGGCGGAGCCAAGGCACGGAGCTGGAAAGGTGACGCTTGAGGCAGGCCATAAATTTCCACTCTGGGCTTCTCCTCCCCTCCCTCCCGCTCTCTCTCTCTCTGCCTTGGCTTGGTCTGAATGGGGCCTTTGTGTCTTGGCCCCCCAAGAAGGGCCCTCTCCCCAGGATCCCAAACCGTGAGTCATCCTTCCTAGGCAAAGAGGGAAATCCCTGGGAATCGGGAAACAAGCGGCTTTGTCCACGTCGGAAAAAGGTTTGTCCCGAGAGGAGACCTTTGCAGAAAACAGTCTTGCTGCATTCATGCGCAGAAGCAAAAGTGCACCGAAGGGCAGAATTAATAGTTCCTCAACAGCTTCTGGAGTTGATTGTGTCACCTTGACCCTCTTTCACTCTGGTAGAGGAGGAGAGAGAAAAACTTCATTCATCTGACCTTCCTGGTCTTGATTTGCATTTGGAAGCAAAGTGTAGCAATAATAATAATTTCTCATGTCAGGAGCGACCTCAGAAACTGCAAGTCGCTTCTGGCGTGAGAAAATTGGCCATCTGCAAGGATGTTGCCCAGGGGACGCCCGGATGATTTGATGTTTTCATCATCCTTGTGGGAGGCTTCTCTCATGTCCCTGCATGAGGAGCTGGAGCTGACAGAGGGAGCTCATCCGCCTCTCGCCGGATTTGAACCTGCGACCTGTCGGTCTTCAGTCCTGCTGGCACAGGGCTTTAACCCACTGCGCCACTGGGAGCTCCAATAATAATAATAATAATAATTATTATTATTATTATTAACTTTATTTGTACCCCGCTAGCATCTCCCGAAGGACTCGATGCGGCTTACACAGGCCGAAGCCACAAAACACAATATAATAGAAACAGACGTCACAAAAGCAAAACAAATCAAACAATAGCAAAATAACAACAATAGCAGTACATCAAGACATTATTAAAACTGGTTCGGCCGGCGCACTGGGTACAAGGGATTAAAAGTGCTGAAATGGCAGGAGGCACGTAGGATTTCAAGTGCGGTGTGCAGTAACGATTTGTTATGCTAAGGTGCTATTTGGACTTGGGTGGGGATTCCTAATCTGAGAAGGCACAACGGAACAGCCAAGTTTTTAAATTCCTTCTGAAAACGGCTAGAGTAGGGGCCTGTCTGAGATCTTTTGGGAGGGCGTTCCAAAGTCGGGGGGCCGCCACAGAAAAGGCCCTGTCCCGTGTCCCCACCAAGCGCACTTGCAACATAGGTGGGATCACGAGCAGGGCCTCTCCAGATGACCGGAGCGAGCGTGTGGGTTCGTAGATAGTGATGCGGTCACGCAGGTAGGGTGGTCCCAAACCGTTTAGGGCTTTGTAGGTAAGCACCTGCACCTTGAATTGGGCTCGGAAAATAAACGGCAGCCAGTGGAGCTCCTTAAACAGGAGGGTTGACCTCTCTCTGTAATGAGCCCCAGTTAACATCCTGGCAGCTGCCCGCTGGACCAATTGAAGTTTCCGAGTCGTCTTCAAGGGCAGCCCCATGTAGAGCGCATTGCAGTAATCCATTCTAGAGGTGACCAAGGTAATAATAATAATAATAATACTTTATTTATATACCGGTTCCCAGGTAACATCACAAAACATAGAGAATAAAAACAACATAACCATAAGACAACACAAAATTTAAGCATAAAAATTGTCGCCAAAACACACATATATTAAAAGTAATCTTGCTTGTTCATATTTAAAAATTTAAAAGGCCGGGCCAAGATTTGTGCAAGCCCCCAAAATTCTAGGGCCCCCGGAATTAAGTGCAATGCTATGGCAGGCAACCATAATATGAGGTAGGGGTCTGTGGCTGTTCATTCTGGTGCCGATAAGAGGAAGTGATCTGGGTAATTGGTAGGAAGAAGGCGGCCGCATTCAACAATGTGTAGGGCTGAGTTAGAACTGGTTATTTTCAAAGGCTTGTTGAAACCACCAGGTCTTCAAGCTCTTATGAAAGGAGGGGAGGGATGGGGCCTGTCTTATTTCCCTTGGAAAGGCGTTCCAGAGGTGGGGGGCCACCACTGAGAAGGCCCTCTCTCTTGTCCCCACCAACCACACTTGAGATGGTAGTGGGACTGAGAGGAAGGAAAACGAAATGCCAAGATACAGAATCGGGGACAATGCCTGGATCGAGAGCAGTGCGTGTGAAAAAGATCTTGGAGTCCTCGTGGACAGGAAGTTAAACATGAGCCAGGAATGTGATGTGGCGGCAAAAAAAGCCAATGGGATTTTGGCCTTCATCAAGACGAGCCTAGTGCCTAGATCTAGGGAAGTCCTGCTCCCCATGCTCTATTCCGCTTTGGTTAGACAACACCTGGAATATTATTTCCAATTCTGGGCACCACAATTCAAGAGAGATATTGACTCTAAGCTGGAATGTGTCCAGAGGAGGGCGACTCAAATGATCAAGGGTCTGGAGAACAAGCCCTATGAGGAGCGGCTTAAGGAGCTGGGCATGTTTAGCCTGAAGAAAAGAAGGATGAGAGGAAACATGATAGCCGTGTGTAAATATGTGGGAGGAAGCCACAGGGAGGAGGAGGGAGCAAGCTTGTTTACTGCTTCCCTGGAGACTAGGACGCATCAGGCCCGTAGCCAGGATTTCGTTTCGGGGGGGGGGGGGGGGGGGTTTTTTTTTTGGGGGGGGCGGGGGGGCTGAGTCTGAGTGAAAGAGGGTCTAGCCTAGCAAACCTTTTGTATCATTACCCCAATACCCCCATGCATATGGGATATATTGAGTATGGTGATCAGATCATGATATGAATAAACATAACAGTTTAAATAATGTACCAATAAGGCCTTTTCGCGAACCACCATGAAAATTTCGGGGGGGGGGGCTGAAGCCCCCCGAGCCTCCCCCCCTGGCTACATGCCTGGCTTCAAACTACAAGAGAGGAGATTCCATCTGAACATGAGGAAGAACTTCCTGACTGTGAGAGCCGTTCAGCAGTGGAACTCTCTGCTGCAGAGTGTGGTGGAGGCTCCTTCTTTGGAAGCTTTTAAACAGAGGCTGGATGGCCATCTGTCAGGGGTGATTTGAATGCAATATTCCTGCTTCTTGGCAGAACGGGGTGGGACTGGATGATGGCCTAGGAGGTCTCTTCCAACTCTTGGATTCTAGGATTCTATGATTCTATGATTCAAGCAGTATGCTTACTTTCTTACGCAATCACTCGTCATTTGAGGATGATGGTCCTCCAAGTGTAGCGTCTTGACAGGTTCAGGATACAAAAGGACCCTTGATCATTTGAGTCGCCCTCCTCTGGACACATTCCAGCTTTAGAGTCAATATCTCTCTTGAATGGTGGTGCCCAGAATTGGACACAATATTCCAGGTAAAGTGGTCTAACCAAGGCGGAATAGAGCATGGGGAGCAGGACTTCCCTGGACCTAGGCACTAGGCTCCTCTTGATGCAGGCCAACATCCCAGGCTTGACCTGGAAGCCACTGGATATATCCCTGGAGCCTGGCCGGTCTGCTCTTTATAGCTGCCTCTCTCTCCTTCCTGCAACAATGCTCCTGTTCAGAAGAGGGTCGTAAATCTGTGGCTTGGCGTGTGCCTGACGTGACCTGGGTCCGATCCCAGGACTTGGCTTCCCCAGAGGAAGGGAAGCAAGGAACTAATGAACAAACGAGGTCTCTCTCTCTCTCTCTCTCTCCAACAGAAATTCAAAGTCATGGGGAGGAGATGGGGGCGGAGGAGGCACGGCTGGCTGCCACATTGGCCAAAGGGGTGGCTCGTGGGGGACAAGCGCACTCTTGCGCCTTCTTCCTCTGGCAAGCCCTTGCTGTGCTCAAGGAGGGGAGCCAGCATAGAGGAGGTGGGCTTTTATTGTGGATCAAGTCCAGGGAGAGGTCTTCAGCTGGCCTTAGAATCATAGAAGGGGCACCCAAAGGCCATCCAGTCCAACCCCCTTCTTTCTGCCAAGTAGGAGGACACCATCAAAGACTTCCCAGTAGAAAGCCATCCAGCCTCTGCTTAAAGGCCTCCAGAGAAGGAGACATCATCATCATCGCCTTCGCCATTACCATCACCAACACCATAACCAACACCAACACCATCACCATAACCAACACCATCACCATAACAACACCATCACCAACACCATCACCATTACCATAACGAACACCATCACAACACCATAACCAACACCATAACCAACACCATCACCATCACCATAACCAACACCATCACAACACCATAACCAACACCATCACCATCACCAACACCAACACCAACACCATCACCAACACCATCACAACACCATAACCAACACCATCACCATAACCAACACCATCACAACACCATAACCAACACCATCACCATCACCAACACCAACACCATCACCAACACCAACACCATCACAACACCATAACCAACACCATCACCATAACCAACACCATCACCATAACCAACACCATCACAAAACCATAACCAACACCATCACCAACACCAACACCAACACCATAACCAACACCATCACCATAACCAACACCATCACAACACCATCACCAACACCATCACCAACACCATCACAACACCATCACCAACACCATCACCATTACCATAACGAACACCATCACAACACCATAACCAACACCATAACCAACACCATCACCATCACCATAACCAACACCATCACAACACCATAACCAACACCATCACCATCACCAACACCAACACCAACACCATCACCAACACCATCACAACACCATAACCAACACCATCACCATAACCAACACCATCACCATAACCAACACCATCACAACACTATAACCAACACCATCACCATCACCAACACCATCACCATTACCATAACGAACACCATCACAACACCATAACCAACACCATAACCAACACCATCACCATAACCA